GGAGCGGCAGCAGCAGCCTCCCTTTCTGCTGAAAGACGAAGGGTCGTCTGACTACCGCCTTCAGTCCATGGAGCAAGATGCTGATGATGAGGCAGCTGATGACACAGATGACACTAGCTCTGTCACCTCTTCTGCCAGCTCCACGGCCTCGTCGCAGAGTGGCAGCGGCACTGGCCGCAAGAAGAGCATCCCTCTTTCCATCAAAAACTTGAAGCGGAAGCACAAGAAGAAGAAGACCAAGGTTTCACGAGAATTTAAGCCAGGAGACAGGTGAGTTGGATTTCCAACCCCAGGTATACTTGCCAAAATCTCCCTTACCAAAATTCTCGGATGTAAACCACCTCCTCAGCTTGGGTGGAGGATGGTGATGTGCCTCGTGTTAGGGCACTGCTTGGTAATAACCAACAGCGATTATCTTGTGGTGACTGTGCTGTGGCCCGTGTGAAACCAGCTCGGTCTCAGCCCAGCTGCTGGTGAAACTGGGGCCACGTGACGTGACACTGATGCTGTGCCTTGAGGCACCGACAGAATATCTGTGCCGCACTAGACTGCGTGCAGAGGAGGAGGCAGGTGAATAAAGATCATACAGCTTGCACGTGACGCTCATCGGTGACCTGCTGGGCAGCTTCTGCCGAGCGGCCGCGGAGAGGCCACGCTGGCGCGAGCGGGCGACTCGTCCTCGTAGGGAGCTGTGCTGGCAGGGGTTCGTGCTGCAGAGGTCTCTGTTATCCTTGCCCTGCGCTGCAGAGGAATCTGCGACGTCTGCCAGCAGGATGGTTTTGCTTTCTGTTGGAATTTTTTTAATGGACAAAACGCACTCCTTGAGAGCCTTGGATGAATTGATTTCAGTAGGTTGGGGGAGGGAGAACTGCATGCATCTTCCGCTTCCAAATAAAACTGGATCTCAGCAGCTTTTGCCTTTGTCCTAACTTGAGAAAGTTTAAACTGTTTTCAGGGGATGCAGAGACATCTGACAGCTGGCTGGCCCGTCTTGCTGGCTGCCCTGGGCTGGTTAGTTCCCTACAGAGCCTGCATCACAAATTGGCCAGCGCAGGTGCGCGAGAACCCTCCAAGAAAAGTGACATTACCAGAATTCAAGGGATCACATCGTTTGAGAGTGCCAGGAAATTCATTCACATTTTGTTTGGGTAATTTAGCTTTGGCTGTATGCGAGGAGAGCTGTACCTTTAGTCCTTGTTGATTTTGGGGAAATAGGATTTGAAGGTCACAAACCTCAGCAGAGCAGTACTAGAGTGAAAGAAAAAAAAACGGGAGCACATGATAAGAGTTGCTGGGAACTGATTCTCGGTTCAGTTTTCACTTCTCAGCCCCTGCGCGTGCCTCTGCTTCACTGAAGGCTTCGCTAAGGAGGGCTTAGCTAGTAAACCCGGCAGCTTTCTGCACCGGCCAGGCAGTGGGGAGAAATCCCTGTGACAACACGGAGAGGTTCCTGTGTGGGATCGGGGCAGCTCCGCGCAAGGAAGCGCAGAGATGATCATGTCCCAGAGAATAAGAAATGCAGGTTTTTAAGTGCAGAACGTGAAGCCCCAGCTGATACTCCGAAGGGGCTGTGTGGGAGCTGGTCGCAGCTCGGTACGAGGGGTCTGTGCCGCCGGGATGTTCAGACGAAGCTGGGAGACTGTCGGTAGGTGTGCTGCCAAGCACTGCCCACAAGCGCGGGGCGGCTGGGCTGGGCGCAGTTGCTCCCCAGATCTGATGTCGGCTCACGGGCAGCTCTGACTGCAAGGGGGAACTCGGCGTGCGGCTTGCTGCAGCTCTCTGGGCAGCACGTAGACCTCTGGGTGGTTGTTCCGTAAGGACACACAGGGATTTTTACTGATGCCAAGTGGGGATTTTGTGAAGCAGCATAACCTGTGCTGCAGGCCGGACCGTGTCGTCTCCTTGGGTGGCCTGCCTTTCCACTCTCCCGTCCTCAGCTGCACGTGCCCCCACGTCCCTCAAGGAGCCATCTCTTGGCATGTCACCCCCCACGCTTGGCCTGTCGCAGATTTCCTTCTCTGATAATTTCTGCTGTTGAGTGCTGGCCCTGCTAGAAACTTTTTATTATTTATCTGACATTCATAAAAACAGGGCTGGGGGAAAACAGATTTGCCTATTGTAGCTTCCTTATGGTTTGACTTGAAACCAACATAAATGCAGCACTCGTGTTAGGTCTGGAAGGCTTGGCCAGCAAAATAAAGACAAGATTTGAGATCTGCATGGGATTCAGTTTGTTCTGTGCTGTAGGAGAGATGAAAACGGTGGAGGGCTCGTCGGAAGAGTCTGTCCGGCCAGGCTGCAGCTCTGTTCCTCCTGCCCCTGAGTGACTTGCTGCTTCAAGCAACTCTGTCGGGCTGCGCAGCGGAGTGCCAGCATGTGGTGCATTGTTGCCTGTTTGGGTTTCATTTCTGAGCTGTAGAGGCACACATGGATGTGTTTGAACAGCTGGGAAGGAGGCTTTTCTCTTTTAAACAAAATCCTTTTGCTTTACCACATTCAGTGTGTTGCCTCGTTTGATTTTTCCTTTCCGGAAGGGCTGGGATGGATGCTGCTTTGTCTTTCCAGCCCCATGCTCTTCTAGTTTCAAAGACTGCTCAGCTGCCAGGCTAGAAGGTGCTTCTGTGGAGAAGATCTGAGTTTTCAAAGTATTTGAAGCTCCTGTTCTGCCTCTGCCAGGGTAGAAAGTGGGTGCTGGTAGATGTTAATTTGCTCCACTAGGAATAAAAGTGAGCTCAGCATCAACTCCCTGGAAAGTAAACCCTCCTGCAGTATAGACGTGCAGCGATGTAACATCTGCAGCGACTGAGAACCTGTCAAAGCAAAGCCTGCTGCGTAGCTGCTTCTGCTGGGACCAGATGGGGTTTCCCACCTTGCTTCCCAGCCTGCTGAGACGTGTGCCTTTGTGCTGCTGAGGTCCACAGGATCACAGAATGTTGGGGGTTGGAAGGGACCTCTGTGGGTCATCTAGTCCAGCTCCCTGCCAAAGCAGGGTCCACCTCGATTCCTGACGCTGGCAGCATCATGTTCTGGTTGTGCTGGTGCACGTTCCCTCTGGTAACTTGTTGCCTTACTGTGTTCCTAGGGTTGCTGTAGAAGTGGTGACCACGATGACTTCGGCTGACGTGATGTGGCAGGATGGCACCGTGGAGACAAACATTCGCTCCAACGAGCTGATTCCAGTCCATCATCTGGACAACAACGAGTTCTGCCCTGGCGATTTTGTGGTGGACAAAAGAGGTATTGGGTGTCAAAACAATGCGCTCCTCGGGGAACAAACATGCTCTTAACTGCGAAGCTTTCTTCAGTCTGGGTCTCCTAATGCACACTGTAGCCCTTTCTACGGTAGATGTTAGAATTACTCACTTGAGGTAGGCACAAGGGCCTGACAAGGGACAGGCAGTGGCTCAGCTGACTTAACATGAATGTCAGCAGAGAACCAATATTCAAATACCCAAGATGAACTATGACAACAGGCAAGATGTGGAAGGAATAAACGCCAAGGAGCAAAGCTAGGATTCTCAGTGTTTCTGTAGAGTAGAGGTGGCCCACCTTGTCCTGAGAGTACGAATGGCTCTGAGCTCTCTCGCAGAATGGGGAGAGAAGGATCAGCTCACGTCAGGCTGCTTTCTCCGTCTGGTTTGTCTGTCATGACCCTTCATTTTGTCATGGAGGATTTTGGGATTCAGAGGTCGCATCCCTTCAGCAAACCAGCTGGCGACACTAGTGAGGGTCACGGTTACAAGTTCAAGGAGATTCACAGCTTTTGGATATGAAATATTGATGGCACAGCATCTGGCTCTCGGCTCCTCTCCTTTTTCTAGCAGGGGTGGACCCTCAGCAGTGGGGAGCACAAGGTGTTGTCAAGTTGGGAAGAGGGAAAGCTAGCTTAGCAAAAAAAGGCGCTGTTTTGCGTGGCCATTTCTGAGGAGTAGTAGTCTGACTGGTCTTGTGGGTTAGACGTAGTTACTGGAAGCTAAAGTTCCCCATCAGCTCCGGCGCTGCCATTTCAGCTTGGCCTCTGGGAATCTGTACTCCTCTGTTAGTCAGACGTACTCTCCAAGCAGTCTGAGATGCCCACAGTTCCTTGCATCCCCCTGCTAAGGATGCCAGGAGGTGGATCCTTGTCAGCCAGATAAATCTGGGATGTCTGGATACCAGTGTGCTGGAGAACAGCCCAGGCCTGGAGAGGTGACCCAGGCCCAGCTGTGAGGCTGTTGGCTCGCCGATGCACGCACACACACGTGTATTCCTGCCTGCATCCTGCCTGCCTTCCGCCTTGCTCGTCCAGTCCGTTTTTCCAGAGGAGTGAAGCTGTTGGGGTGGCAGATTTCTCGATGCAGAGCTTGGCAGCTGGGACTGCTCTCGGGGAGCTCTTGGCCAGCCTGTCCAGAAACTCAGACAGTCTTGGTGCGGAGCTCACGTGGAGGGCAGAGTACTAAGGTGACAGCATGTTTTCTCTTGGTGGTAGAGCTCAAAAGTGGTCCCGAAGTGAATGTGTTCACGCAGTCCAATGCAACATAATTACCCTGCTTCGGCAGGGGGGTTGGACTAGATAACCCCCAGAGGTCCCTTCCAACCCCTACCATTCTGTGATTCTGTAATCTCCCTTTATCATCACTCCATGCTCTGTTAAAATGCAGCTCGTTAGCTGAGTACAATTTTGGCTGTGTAGGAAGAACTGTTTTTCCTCATGCCATTCACAGTTGGAAGGTTTCAGCCAGGAGAGCCTGGGAGCTGACAGCCTCAGGTGCTGTGCGAAGTCTGTGCTCCTCCACTGAACTTGTCTGTTCTCTTCCCTGCCATTGCGACCAAAAGCTCAGAGCTCACAGGACCCCGGGCTGTATGGAGTGGTGCAGTCTGGTGACCACATCGGCCGTACCTGTGTGGTGAAGTGGTTCAAGCTGAAATGCAGCGGAGATGATGTGGAGGTAAGTGGAGCAGCTAGTGCCTACTGGAACCAGCTAGGAGAGAGCAGCCACAAAACAGCACAAGCTTCACAGATAAACACAGATAAGCTTGAGTGTCAGCTCTGCAGCGGAGTTTGTCCTTGAGGATGGGAACAGCAATGTGATTTTGGGCCTGGGAGACTTTGCTGGAGGTGGTGTCGCTTCATATTTGTAGATGCCTGCAAGGCAGTGAAGACTTAGCAGAGGGTTTCCGTCCTATAGTCAATGTCAGGCTCTGGTATGGATGAAGATTTTTGCTGAAGTTGTCACAGTTGACTGAAGTTCACCATAAGATTTTTTCCCTTCCGTGTCTTTGCTGGCTCATGGAAAGAGCAGCAGTGTATTGCTTGCCTCTGCCAGGCACTGTTGCCTACAGTCAGTCCAGTAGCTCTTTCTTGGGGCTTGTAGGAAAGCTTTGTTTTGCAGAGTCTTGATAGACTACAGTGTAGCTGGGGACAGAGGGGCACTTGCACCACGCAAATCTGGTGTCCTGCTTTCTGCCATGGGGTGGGAGACCACATTGTCGTAACTGAGCAGGGCTCTTTACATCCAGAAGCAGAACGTGAGTCTGGCCTGGGGCTGTGCTCCACCTTACTCCTCTCATTATTAGTGGGCTCCTCGCTCTCTTCCTCCAGGAGAACCCAGAGGAAAGATGTTTCCTGTTAACTGACAAGTGTTTTGTCAGACGCTTGCGGTTGCCTTGGATCGTTTCAAAAGTAAACTCTAACCCTCTGGGCCCCAGTGAACTGCTTTGAGAAATCTGGGTGTTGAGAAGGTAATAAAATGTTGTTCTTGCATGTCTCCTGACCATGGTGACATGAAACCTGAAGTAAAGGCGAGGGTGAGCAGAAGAGACAGAATTTCTGCTTCCTTTCATTGTTGTGCCTTGACTGAGGTGCTACAGGATGAGGTGACGAGAAGGGACCTTAGAAGCTCCTTGCAGGCTGTTGGAGCAACTGAAAACTGACAAAATATAATGCAAAGTACTTTCAAGTGTTGAAGGCTGCTCTGAGGGTCAGTGCGGTGTCCTGGGGCTGAGATGTTCTCATTCTGTCTCCGGTGCAGCTGATCGGGGAGGAGGAGGATGTGAGCGTGTATGACATTGCTGATCATCCAGACTTCCGCTTCCGCACCACTGACATTGTGATTCGCATTGGCAACTCGGATGGAGCCACAGCTAAGGAAGATGAGGTGGGTTCTGGGCACAGTTAGGTGACCACAATGTCATCAGGTGTTAGTGGAGACGCCGGAGTCGATAGGAGGGCCTCAGGCCCCACGTGGGCATCCCGATCTGCCTAGCTTGTAGCTTTGTATCAGTGTCCCCTGCCAGCAGGCGTAACACGTCAGATCTCAAAGTCTGGTGGAGATGTAACCTTGCAATCCTTTGACCTTAGTGACAGAGTCTGTAGGAGAGCGAGAACAAACTTGAGACAAGAACTGAACGTGCGCCTGAGGGTTTTTAACAGAACTCTTGCTTAGGCTTTCAGAATAACTTCTTATATGAGGATATTTATTCTGTGGGCTCCTGAGCAAGAGTGAAGGTGGATTTGTCATGAAACCAGTTTCAGTTGGCTACAGAAGACTGGGGTTCTGGTCTTCATCTGAGTTATGTACATGTTAATTTTGTTAAGCTGATTGATCTCCTGGGGAGAAAGAGGGGAGCAATTCGTAGAGGATACACTCTTTGCTAGAAAACAGGCTTCCGTACTGTGCAGGGATGACCTCCAGCTTTTGGGACTGCTGCCCTAGGAAGGGTTAAAAGGTGGAGTGAGGCTCTTACTGGGATTGTAGTTTCAGCAGCATGAGACACATCTGAGCTTGCTCAGCTGACCTAAATAACTTTCTTGCAGTGCAAGGTGCTACGTGCTGCGCACGCCCTGTGCCAGGCGCTGCTCTGCTCAGCCTGCGCTCTCCCTGCCGGGGGGGCTGCGGGGAGCCCCCGGCGCAGGCTCGGGGAGCGCTGGGGCCCGCTGCTGGAGCCCTGCCATGGCCCTGGTCCTGAGCGGAAGGCAGGAGCCGCTGCCAGACCAAGCCCTCCTGGTCCTGCCCTGCTTGAAGGGGAATATCCCCAATCTGCGTGGCAGTGTTGGGGGGTTTCTCGTGGAAACCCTGTCTGTAGGATTTATCTTTTTTCCCTCTTGACGTGGGACCCCAGGACTCCTGCCACTTCTGCTGCAGGCTGCAGTCATTGCTTTAGGTGGGTCTCCAACCTGGGGAACATCTGTTTCTCAAAACCTTCCTGGCTCTGCACTGAAATGCCTGGGAAAGGACGGGGACTGACAAACTGCTCTTGTTTCCACAGCCTTCGGTCGGACAGGTGGCTCGTGTGGATGTCAGCAGTAAAGTGGAAGTGGTGTGGGCCGATAACTCCAAAACTATCATTCTCCCTCAGGTGAGGTCCTGTTCCAGCTCACGATATCCCTGTAATTCTTAGCCGAGTGACAAATCTTGGTTTTGAATCCTGGGTGCACAGAGATTGACTGTGTAGGGGAATCTTGCTCTATTTATTGCTCCTTCCCCTGTGATAGTGTGGCTTCGCGGTTCTGTTAGCGCAGGAGAATCCTTCCTTTGTCAGGAGGAGTGGGCAACTGATTGGTCATCTCTGCTCTCGAATATAGAGACTGGGAAAGTACGGGCAGACTGCTGCTGCCTTCGCACACTGCGCTGCACGCTCGCAGTGCTGACCACAGCCCTGCTCCTGGCCTCCAGCTCCTGAGCGTGGCAGAGCTCAGGGATCATCGGTTCTGACTTGAGCCCAGGTTCACCGCATTGCCCAACGAAGGCACTGCTGAAAGATGATTGCTTGTTCTGTCTTGCTTGTGAAATGGCGCTGTAGTGTTTTCTTTGGCCAAAGAAGCTCCTCCAGAAACCGGGCTGGAGCCACAAGCTGTGACCTCAGCTAACCAAGGGATCAAACCCAAATCTCTTCCCAGGTTGGGGAGGGAAAGAAGTTGAGTGTGAACTTAAAAATATCCATATAGCCACACTAATGCACTTAATCCCATTGAATTGTCCTCTGCATTTTCCTAAGATTTTTGTTGTACTGGCTCGTTAATCTTACTCACTGCTCCATGTACAGTTTCATCCCATGTCTCTTCTTGTTGCCTCAAATGAAAGCAGACAGACTAAAGAGAAGACCTGCTTCTGCAGGATGCCATCTCCATCATGGTGGCAGAGAACACCACTGCCTCCACCGCAGAGATGCGTTTGCAAGTACAAAGCACTCGATGGAGATTTTCTTTTCAAACCAAGCAGCTCTGCATTAATTACAGCAGAATAGTCAATGCCTGCACTATGGCAGGGGACTGGAGCGTTACAAAGCAGGCTGCTGTCTCCCTTCCCCCTGTTGTCACATGTGCTGGGACCGCGGGCACAATCGGGGGTCTGAGGCGTGCTCCACAAAGGGCTGTTCTCACGCTGTGCTGCTGGGGCTCTGCGGCAGCTCCTGCTGTGTCACACCAGTCCCGCCAGTCCCTTCGCTTCTGCTCCTCTGCGTAATTACGGGAGCTGGGCCTTCCAGTCCCTTCGCTTCTGCTCCTCTGCGTAATTACGGGAGCTGGGGAAATGTCAGGAGTGTGAATTATCAGTTGGTAAAACCACGATTTATCAATGCCTGTCCATGTGCCCAGAGACGAGCTGCCTGGGTGCTTTTTCTCAGCTCTAAAAATAAAGATGGCATAACTGGCTAATTAACTTTCTGAATCAGATTTGGATTAGCTTTGAGGGCAGTGAGTTTTGATGTCTTTCCCTGCCTGCAGTCACTTGTGTTGAACCCAGCAGCCCTGCGGGCTGCCTGTCTCTGGGTGGCACAGCACCTTCTGAACAGCGTTGGTTCAGCTCAGGGCCTTGGCAAGGTGACCGAGTGTCCATGCACTTTAGCCTCTGGGGTCATATCTAGCAAGACTAAGGGGATCTTTGGGCCGTCATTCAAGTGTCAGAAGCCTGTGGATAAAATGCTCCATCTTGAAACTCCTAACACAGCCTTACAGAGTTGTTCTTGCTCCCCTGCTTCTATGTTGGAGCTCGTAGCCAGAGTATAAGTGTAAGGGAAACCTTGCAAGAGACGTAGCATGTGCGAAAGCATGATTATAGCAGGTGAGGCTAGATGGTGTGGATGGGTTCAGCTTCCACTAGTGAAGGGGAAGAGATCATTTTACGTAAGAGCTTATTCAGCAGCTTGGGTTAGGCTTCATTGTCCCAGCTGAATTTTAAGCCCTAGTGACACACAACAGCTAAAGCAGCGTTGTGTGCCACAGAAGAAAGCTGGTGTGGGAATGTTTTCCTAGTTCCAGCATTGTCTCTGTGGAAGGCGCAGAGTGTGAAGGCAGCCAAACCAGGGCTCTGTGCCAGCACAGTTGATGGTGCAGAAGCAGGACCAGAAATACTAACTCCGCACACGATAACCCAATGCCTCCTGAGCTAGCTCTGCACTCAGAAACCCTCGGGCATCCAGGTAGCTGCTTGGTGCCCACGTGCTCTCCTTGGCTGGATCCCTGTCACTGGGGTGGCTGCAGCCCACCTAGAACTTGTCCTAGTTTTCCCCCGGTGCCCTACTTTGAAAGGTGGAGGATGGGGCTGTGCTGATTCATAATCTGTGCCGGTCGTTGATGAGCGTGTTGTTTGGATCAAACACAGTCCGAGCTGTGTAGATAGAAGGGGTTGAAGGAGCCTGAGCAGTCCTAGATGGAATCTCCCTTTTCAAGGGAAGGACTGACTTGTGTTTAAAAACAACTGAAACTCTGTGCTTCAGCCTAAGTCTCTGGTAACTCTGCTCTCCTTTAGCACTTATACAATATTGAATCAGAAATTGAGGAGTCAGACTACGATTCTGTTGACGGCAGCACCAGCGGGGCATCCTCTGAGTGGGAGGATGAAAGCGACAGCTGGGAGACAGACAATGGCCTCATGGAAGACGACCACCCAAAAATTGAAGAGTTAGAGCCTGAGGAGCCGGCAGCAGAGGAGGTGAAAAAAGTAGAGGAACAAGTCCAGGGAGCTGTGGCTATGGCAGCTGCAGATCTGGCTGCAGAGAAAGCTGGCAAGGACGGAGCCCCAAAGAGCTTCCGGGAACTGAAGGAGGCCATCAAGATCTTGGAAAGCCTGAAAAATATGACTGTGGAGCAGCTGCTGACTGGCTCTCCCACCTCCCCAACTGTGGAGCTGGAAAAACCCACTCGGGAAAAGAAGTTCTTGGACGATATTAAAAAACTGCAGGAAAATCTAAAGAAGACCTTGGACAATGTGGCTATTGCAGAGGAGGAAAAGATGGAAGCCATGGTGGAGACAGAGAAGAAAGAAGAAAAAGCAGAGGCACAGACACCGGTGAGGTCTGAGTGGCCCAGTGAGACACCAGTGCTCTGCCAGCAGAGTGGAGGCAAGCCTGGAGTCACCTTCACCAGTGCCAAGGGAGAAGTCTTCTCCGTGCTGGAGTATGCTCCAGGTGAGTGCGTCAGGTCAGGCCAGTGCGGGATGCTCTGTCCTTCACTGCTGTCCTGCAGCGTTTCTTTCTCCAAAGCCTTTGCTTCTAAGCCTTTTGGATCGGGTATCCTCTCTTCTTAGCCCTTAACTTGGGTCGAGGTGAAATTAAGACAGCCTCTGTACCCCAGGCTGTTCTGGGACTTAAGCCTGGCTTTTAGATGGCATCTCAGGCTTGGGGCCGACCTGCTGGAGAGCAGCTCTGTGGAGAGGGACCTGGGAGTGCTGGTGGACGACAGGGTGACCATGAGCCAGCAGCGTGCCCTGGGTGCCCAGAAGGCCAACGGGATCCTGGGGTGCATGAGGAGTGTGGGCAGCAGGTCAGGGAGGTTCTCCTCCCCCTCTGCTCTGCCCTGGTGAGGCCCCATCTGCAGTGCTGTGTCCAGTGCTGGGCTCCCCAGTTCAAGAAAGATGAGGAGCTGCTGGAGAGAGTCCAGTGGAGGGCTACGAGGATGAGGAGGGGACTGGAGCATCTCTCCTACGAGGAGAGGCTGAGGGAGCTGGGCTTGTTCAGCCTGGAGAAGAGAAGGCTGAGAGGGGACCTTAGAAATGCCTCTAAATATCTGCAGGGGGGGGTCAGGGGGACTCTGGAGATATTCCAGCCCCGCCTGGCTGCGGTGCTGTGCAGCCTGCTCTGGGTGACCCTGCTTGGGCAGGGGGTTGGGCTGGGGGACCCACAGAGGGCCCTGCCAACCCCCAACATTCTGTGATTATCAAGTGGGCTTCCCCTCTGTGCATGTCGGTACTGACTCTGGAGGGCTGTGGAGATCCCTCGCTTTCTGTTGCAGACACTTTCTTGAAAGATAGCGGGTTTGTTCAGGTGTTTTTGCAGAGGTGGATTGGTTGAGAAGCAGAGCAGGAACAGCTGGTGTTCCTGTGCTGGGTGTCCTTGGTGGGCGAGTGTCCTTGTTCACCTGTACTGATGTTAATCAGCCAAAAATAAAAGAGCATCTGGTCGTGTGGAACACTGGTGGCAGGGGGTTGGACTAGATGACCCACAGAGGTCCCTTCCAACCCCTACTATTCTGTGTTTCTGTGATTCTGTGCAGCCCAAGGTGATCAGCGTGCCAGGTAGCTGGGCCAGGTGAGACAAGGAAGGGTGGCCAAACTCTTCTGAACTTGGACGTCTGTATAAGCAAAGATGGGGAGCCATGCTTGGGCTTTGCAGAGGAAGAGTTGTCACTTTGTGCAATGCATCATTGTCCTGGTGGTGGGACAGGGCTCCTTGTGGGGCACGGGAACGATGTTGTGTGGGACCGTGAGAACAGGGGGCGCAGGCTGGGGCTGCTGTACAGTGTAGGAATCATCAGATAATCTCAAGGCTGCCTCCTGGCTCAGCGTGAAAGCAAGTCGACCCTTCTCTTGCAAATCATAGGTTTAACACATGGATAGATTTGCCTTCACAAGGAACGCGTGGCAGCTTCCAGAGGCAGACTTTAATCCCGTTCTTCTCCTTACCCCACAGATACCCATGCCTTCAAGAAAATGGAGTTCCAGCCCCCAGAAGCCAAGAAGTTCTTTAGCACCGTGCGGAAGGAGATGGCTCTCCTGGCCACCTCCCTGCCTGATGGCATAATGGTCAAAACCTTTGAGGATCGAATGGCAAGTGCCTGCTCTCAAGCGCCTGTGTGTCAGTGCTGCGCGCGGCAGCCGCGCTGCTTGCTTTCCAGTTCCCTGCTTAACTTTAATCCTTTGCTGCAGAGCTGCGAGAACGTGTGCAGCACGTGAGATACAGCTGTAGTTACCGTAAACGGCTGCTTCTGCCTTCCCCAAGTCAGGGTGGCAAGCAACAGGGAGCTCCTCGTTGCAGGAAGCCTCTCTGGGGTGCTTTGCCCGCTGGGGCCCCGGCAAAGCGGGAGAGGCAGGCGGGCGGCCAGCAAGGGGCTGATGGGAGCAGGGAGCAGCGCGGGGGTTGCTGGCCGTCCGCCGAAGCCCTGCTTCGGGTCTGAAGGCTTGGTCTGCTGTCCGCCCGTAGCAGAAGAGGAGCTTCTGGGGGCGAGGTGCCCAGAGACGCATTGCTTGAGCTGACTTTGACTCAGCCCTTGCAAATCACAGCCCCCCTCTCCCTCTGTGTAAATACAGCCCTGCCAAGGTCGGAGGACTTCTCACAGTGCCTGGCTTATCTCTTCTCCCCACAGGACCTCTTCTCAGCACTTATAAAAGGGCCCACGCGCACACCCTATGAAGACGGCCTCTTTCTCTTCGATATCCAGCTCCCCAACATCTACCCCGCTGTCCCACCTCTCTTCCGCTACCTCTCCCAGTGCAGTGGGAGACTGAATCCCAACCTGTACGACAACGGCAAAGTGTGCGTCAGCCTCCTGGGGACGTGGATAGGCAAGGTAACGCTCGCATCTGCCCGGCCGTGGGGAGCGGTGGCTGTGCCGGGCTGCCTGGGGAACAAGGCGCTTCCTACCAGGCCAAGAGTCCCGGGGGGCTTCTGGGCTCTGGTGGTGCTTGAGCTGGGGATAGCTCTGGCTTTGGGCTCTGTTTTCAGACATTAGGAGCAGGTAACTGGTGCGGTTTGGCTGCTTCTGGGACTGCACGTGGCTCTTGTCTTTGCTTGATGAGAAGCCTGTGGTGAGACCAGCCGGGCTGCGTCACGGTCGGACAGAGCAGCGATGCCAACACCAGCGTGAGGTGTTCTCCGACAGTTTGGGTCCCTGTCTCCCACGCTGCAGACAAATCGTGTGGTGTGGCACACGGTCCGGCTGGAGACTTGGGATAAACAGCGCCAGGGAAGTGCTGTGTTTGGGGCAGGCAGAGCGACAGGGCAGCTGGGGAGGGGCTGGAACCGCTGTCTGGTGTGGGGGGGTACGGCATTCCAGGCGGAGCTGGCCTGATGGGGTGTGGCGCTGGCAAAAAATAACGGAGAGATGGGTCGGTACAGTGGGACACTAGCACTTCATGTGCTTGTTCAGTCAGTCCCTTGTTCCTGCCGCGAGCAACCGGACCTCAGCCATAGGGGTGCAGAGAAAATGGGGCCTCACTTCACCTAACAATTATCACAGAGCAAACCGATCGTGCTTCAGCCTGTTCACGCGTTTGTATGTGCATTTCAGGGGACAGAAAGGTGGACCAGTAAATCCAGCCTCCTCCAAGTACTCATCTCCATCCAAGGTAAATGCTTCTGCAGAGCCGGTGGGACAGGAAAAGGAGGAGGGGGTGCAGGTTTATGGGGGGGAGACACGATGGGATCTGCCCCCCCGGTTGGGTTAGGGCTGCCTTTGGCTCTCGCCTTGCTGGACAGAGCGGTGTCCTTGTCTCTCCAGTTCAGCAGCCAAGGCAGGTGCAAGCTTTTGTCATGCCCTGGCTTCTGGCTGCGTCCCAGGTCTCTGACACAACGCTTTCCCCGCTTCCTACTGCAGCAGCGAGGCACAGGGCTGGCTTCCTGGTGGTTCTGAGCTGACAGAGGTGAACGGCTGTGTCCTCAGCCAGCTACCGAAGTCAGCGGCAGCTGCTGCTGAGCTGGCCTTTCTTCACGGGGCTGCTTTTTATTCCCCCTGAGGCACCCGCCCCACCTCCGCCGGG